ATGCACTTAAAGGGACAACCCAGGCCGGGAGCGGTGGCTCAAGCCTGTAATTCTAGCACTTTGGGAGGCTGAGGCGGGTGGATCACGAGGTCAAGAGATCGAGACCATCCTGGTCAACATGGTGAAACCCCGTCTCTACTAAAAATACAAAAAACTAGCTGGGCATGGTGGCGCGTGCCTGTAATCCCAGCTACTTAGGAGGCTGAGGCAGGAGAATTGCTGAACCCAGGAGGCAGAGGTTGCAGTGAGCCGAGATCGCGCCATTGCACTCCAGCCTGGGTAACAAGAGCGAAACTCCGTCTCAAAAAAAAAAAAAAAAAAAAAAAGGGACAACCCAGAAAACATCATATAATTAATTAATTGATTTTAGACCTGAAAAGAATGAAGTCTTTGATTTAAATGAACAAACTTTTATCAGGTGACTACTATACACCAAGCATCACTAAGTGCTGGGCATACAAATTAAATGTACCTTGACTTTACTCTCCAAAGCTCTTGAAAATGTTCTTGGTCAAAGGGGAGGCTATTGACAACATACTGTACAAGTTAGATTGCTCTCAAAAGGATGTATTTCCAGATTTATTCATTTAAAAAACAAGAAAAAGAATAGGAACAGGTGGTACCAGTTATCAGCCTCCAGATCAATCCCAGGGTTGAAATGGTATCTTTATCGTGAATGGGAAACGCTGGTTCTCTGCCTGCTGTATTTTTAGTTGACAGGAGTGTCATATCACATGGCTACTTGGTTCCAGAGTGACAGCTCCTTATGGCTGCGGGGAAGAAGAGGACTGCAGGGTTCCTTTCCTAGGTGAGGCCTCGGCAGTGCATGACACCGTGCCATTCTGGGCATGAAGTCTGACTGTCTGCAACAGTGGCTCCAAATGAGCCTCCCAGAACACAGCAGGTAACACGACCTACTGATGAAGGACAAAAGTGGCAACTCTGGCTGCTGATAACTCAGACATGTGGGTGGTGTGGACACAGAGTTCTACCCAAGAGATATGAAGCAGGGCTGAATTCTGGATGACGTCCAGTCTGAAGGATGTCTAAAAAAGTTCTGTATTAAGTAAGTCTATTTGACAAACATGAAGCCAAAAACATTAAAAGGCATGTCTTGCTGGTACTAAACAGAAACCTAAAAAAAGATATTACCAACTGGCCTTATTTGAAGACAAACTGCATTCTTGTCAGTAAACATTTTAGGATTATGATTGATACAGAAGTCTTTAAGATATTTATTAAGTGAATACACAGGGATTGGCACTTATAAGCATTGTAGTGGACTCCTAAGTGTATGTGTATTTTAATTTCAAGACAGCTACTGATGAGCTATTCCATACTGTAAATTGCTTTACAACACAATTTATGAACATATTTAAACAACTACTGCACACAATACTCACTGGAGCAAAATCAGTCTCCACACTGTTTCACACTCTTTTCCTCACATTGTTCGGTATGGGGTAACTTAAAGGAAACAACTTGAACAGGCACTTACGAAAAGCCTCTCGCATGACCCGTTCAGCTCAGTCTGGTACAGGAGACACGAGTCAATGGTCACAATGCAAGGTGGGATATGTGCTGACCTCCAGGTTCTAGAAAGTTGTGGGATGCAGAGGAGGGGTGCCTGCAAGGGAGACAGGTGCAGCAGGCAGAGGTGGGGCATAAAGGTGTCATTCCCAGTACAGATTATGGCTGGCTAACAGGGTGGACCTGGCTCACAGTGAGAACCATGAGTTGTGCACGGCAGAAACAGTAAGTACCAGGAACGAGAGGTCAGGAACTGGAACATAAAGGAGAAAAGAAGCCCTGCTAAGGAGCCTGGATTCTACCTTACAGGATCTGTAGCAGGTAACACAGCTGGATCTCTGGTCTACAAAGCCCATTACGACAGTGGACTGAGGAGCAGCATGGATGTGGCCCAGCGAGGTGAGGTGGGGGCCATGGCAGTAAGGGCTGACTCACCCAGCAGGTGATGTTGTGGGGGTGTTCAGAGCGAACAGATTATTAAGAAGCATTAAGGAGGGGCCGGGTGCGGTGGCTCAAGCCTGTAATCCCAGCACTTTGGGAGGCCAAGGCGGGTGGATCACGAGGTCGAGAGATCGAAAGCATCCTGGTCAACATGGTGAAACCCCGTCTCTACTAAAAATACAAAAAACTAGCTGGGCGTGGTGGCGCATGCCTGTAATCCCAGCTACTCAGGAGGCTGAGGCAGGAGAATTGCCTGAGCCCAGGAGGCGGAGGTTGCGGTGAGCCGATATCGCGCCATCGCACTCCAGCCTGGGTAACAAGAGCGAAACTCCGTCTCAAAAAAAAAAAAAAAAAAAAAAAAGCATTAAGGAGTGAGAAATGACAAAATCTTTTGAGAGGCTGAGAAGGAAGGGTCACTTGAACCCAGCAGTTCACGACTAGTCTGGGCAACATGGCAAGACTCCATCTCTACAGAAAAATTAACAAGTTAGCCACGTGTAGTATACACACTTGTAGTCCCAGCTACTCAGGAGGCTGAAGTGGGAGGACTGCTTGAGCCTGGGAGGTTGAGACTACAGTGAGCTATAATGGCACCACTGTACTCCAGCCTGGGCGACAGAGCAAGAGCCTGTCTCAATTTAAAAAGAAAAGAAAAGACAGTGGGATAAATGGTAACAGTAACTCATTAATAATCAGGTTTGTTAAACTGTGGTTTATATGGCTAAGATGATGATTTTGATGATACATGCAATGTGCTATAACCTCAAGTACCTTTTAAACAGTATAAATTATAATCCTAATTTCGGAATGTTTTATAAGATTCAAATTCTCTGAAAACTGGCCTGATGAGACCATTAGTCCTGCTTAAGAAACTGATGCCTTTCTACTATCCACGTGGGACCAAGGCCATCAGTGTATTCTGTTCTCCAGTCTCCTTCAGATTGGGATTCCAGCCTCTCATGGCCCACACCCCATCCCCCTTCCAAGCACGCAGAATTGTTTGCTCTTTCCCAAACACAGCCTGCACTATTACCTTTGTCTGGAAGCCTGATCTTCCCTGACAGAGGGTTAAGCTCACACTCCTTTCTCAAGAGTGAGATTGAATGCTACCTCCTTAACAAAGCCTTTCCCAACTCTCCCAGGCAGACTACATGGTCCCTCTTCTCAGAGCCCCGGTATTTTCAATGCCCCACACCCTAGTTCTTGTCACATACTGTCATCACCGGTGTCTGTTTCCTCAACTTATCCACGAGTTTCCCGAAAAGGAAGCCTCCACCTCATCCTTTATTCTCTCTCTGGGAGAGTTCTGCTGTGCAGAACTCCTGGCTTTCATCATGAAGACAGCAGGCACAGGGTATGTGCAGGACCCAAGTGAGCGTGGAGGAGGGCAGTCCCAAGCCACTGGAATGTTCAGGAAGGAGCCTGGGGTATGCTTTGAGGAGGGAACTGCCACGCTGGACAGCCTCTCCTTCACAAGCTACACGTCTCATTCCTGTGCCTGTATAAACTCAGCTAAATGACAAACTACCGCATGGCACAAATCTCTGGGTTATCCTCAAGGTCTAAACCATAAATGTTAGTTTTGTGAAGTCCAAGCAAAGATCTACTTTTTTCCCAGACACTTCAAGTATCAGTGAGCAACACAGATACTGTGATTTACATGCTTAAAGACAAAGTCTCCTGTATCAAAAAACCCAACAACCCTTTTTACAGACTGACAGGACGCACGTCAACTCACTTATGGGTGAAAGCCCCTGATAGTGTCTATCCCTCAGGGTGACTTCCTCACTCACATCTATTCTCCCGTCTCTAGAAACAGGTTTATTCTCTGGGGACAGAACTGGGAGAGTCTTGGGTCATGGAAGGCATATCTAGGCCTGAGGAGTCACTGGAATGTGGAATGTCCAGCACCTGGGCTGCAGAGCCATGCTAGTGGCAGTAACCCAGGGAGAAGGGCCACTGCTGAGTCCCTCAAGAGGACCTGGTTCCGTCCCCCCCAAGTGTCAGCTGCTCAGCAACTCCTGGGATCCCATGACATCCCCCCAGCATCTTCTCAGTAAACTCCCTCCATCTGTGGGCTTCCGTGGACAAAAGTTGGTTTCTGTTATGCACAACAAAGTCCTTTGGCTCTGCTCACTCAGGTAGACACCTCCCTCAGGTCTCAGCACCCAGCTCGCACCAAGGAACGATGTCTGTCTCATTGCTCAGGTGTATCGGGTGCCCATCTGGCTTTATGACTACCTTGCCCAACTAGCCTATGAGCTCTCTGGGAGGGGAAGGCTAAGCCATTCTGTGTACTGTCCACAGTGCCTGATTACAGCACTCTGCCCAGGTCATTTGTGATTCACTGAAGGACACAGACAGCGCAATCAAAGGGCCAATGGCTGATGTCAAGGCAGGTATAGTGAGTGGGGCCTCATCAGGGTCATGATGGAAGCCTGCTGGAATGCACTGTTCCAGGCTCTGTTTTTTGAGATGTGCTAACAAACTCTTGGAAAATCTTTTACCATCTTAGACTGTTGACTACATAGCCACCCTATTTGGGGCCTAGCTCTTGAATCTGCTGGCATAGTCTAGGAGGGGTGGAATCTGTTTAATATTCTTGTCTGATGGTCTTTATAAATAACACAATCTCTGTTTTAAAGATTAGGTAGGCAGTCACCCCTACCTAAAACATCTTGTGTTTGACTGGGCCATTCCTTTGGTGACTTGTCATCTACCACCTTGAGACAAATCTTCACATTGTAGTTCACAATATTTATTTTAAATGTTATTAATTTTGCTGGAAGCACATAGTCAAATCCTAAACAAGTACACAGGCCTTGAGAGCAGGTATCCCACTGCACTCAGGCTGGTGAGTGTTCAGTGAGCTCAGAGGTATAGACCAGTGGTTAAGAGCACAGGCTCTGCGTAAGAATCTCAACTGTTTCCTGCCAACCTTAGGCAGGCTGTTGCGACTAAAGGAAGAGAACACAAAACCCAGTTCATTTCACATGTCACCTACTACGCCATTGGAAGTGTAAACTTACAAATGCTGAAGGGAGGAAGAGGACCCCAAGCTCGTAGGAGCGGATCATCAGCTGGGTGCCATTCTTCTCCAGTGCGCCCCAGGCGGCCTTGGACAGATTCGCGCTGCAGAGACAAGGACACAGAAAGGGCTGACTCAGGAGGCATCTCAGTGTGGGTCAAACTTCCACAGCTGCAAGAGCACCGGTCAAAAAAATATATAGCTGCAATCACATTCATTCATTTTCTAGCAGAGTTGCTGCATTTTTGAAAAGGGAATTTAAATCCTGCTGTTCTCTAATCCTCAAGATTTATCTAATTGCTAATTTGGGATAGCTTCACCCTCATCTGCATTTTCCTGAGGGCAGCTATTAAAATAATTATCTTTCCTGAGATTTTATTTTTTTCTTTCTAAAGTCCCTTTTCTTTTCATGATCCTGGAGTAGCCAGGATTTCTGGCTTTGTATATAACTAGCATTTCAGAATAAAGTTAATATTATCTTACATAGTAGTATTTTAAGCTTCATATTTCCTTTTTTTTTTTTTTGCCAGGTAGTGTTAATTTCTTTCAATGTGAAGAAAACAGCTGTGATGGCAATAGATTGTCATTTGTGTCTAGAAAGAAATGGTACATTCAGCCCAGACATGGTGGCACACACCTGTAATTCCAGCACTTTGGGAGGCTGAGGCAGGCAGATTACGAGATCAGGAGTTCAAGACCAGCCTGGCCAACATGATGAAATCCTGTCTCTACTAAAAAATTAGGTGGGCATGGTGGCACGTTACTATAATCCCAGCTGCTCTGGAGGCTGAGGCGGGAGAATTGCTTGATCTGGGACCTGGGAGGCGGAGGTTGCAGGGAACCAAGATTGCACCACTGCACGCTAGCTTGGGCTACAGAGTGAGACTCCGTCTAATTAATAAAAAAAAAAAAAAAAAAAAAAAAAAAAAAAAAAAAAGAAAAGAAATGGTACATTCAGAATGATGTTTTATATGTTCAAAAATCTGTGGCTAAAAAATCATGGTTCAAGCCAGGCGTGGTGGCTCACTCCTGTCTGTAATCCCAGCATTTTGGGAGGCCGAGGCAGGCAGACCACTTGAACCCAGGACCAGCCTGGGAAAGATGGCAAAATCACATCTCTACAAAAAATCAGCAGACATGGTGTCAAAAATCTACAGTTGTAGCTACTTGAAAGGCTGAGGTGGGAGGATTGCTTGAGCCTGTGAGGTGGAGGTTGCAGTGAGTGGAGATCGCACCACCGCACTCCAGCCTGGATAACAGTTAAGACCTTGTCTCAAGTAGTAAAAAAAAAAAAAAAAAAATCAAGGTGCAGCAGGAGGAAGGAGACTGGACACTGATCTTGCAAGAGGTGCCAAGATGCACATCAAGATGCTCAGGAACGGAGACCACTAAGATCTGAGGCATCTTCAGAGACTCTCTTTTATAAGCAAATGTGGCAGAGCTTAACATAAACCCGCCATAAACATTTTTTCATTTTAAAACATATAAACTCCAGCTATTCAGAAAACTCTTTACAGCCTTTGTGGATGACTGAATATTTCAAGATTCATTCACTGGTGCACCAAGTATGTTTTCTAAGCTATGTGCTGAACTATTACTATTGTCTGCTGGAATCAGAGAATCAAACAAAAACAATGATCAAAATCAGATAAAAAGAATAATGTCTGTTAAGGGTTCTATGGGAACAGAGAAAGAAGAATGTGGAAATCAGAGCTAAGAAAAACTCTTGAAGCAATTAAGCTGACTTAAGAAAACAGAGCATTATTTACAAACTTTCCTGGCTTCTTAAATGAACCATACTGAAGACAGGAAACCTTTGCACAAAGACCATGATCATGAGTATCACTGTCTGTGACGTCGTTGAGACATAAAGTGAAGAGGAAGCTGATGTTTATGATAAAGTGGTATTAGGATCCTAGGAAAAACGTGTTTTTTTAAAAGTCCAAAATGAAATCTTGCTTTTAGGTCTTTCACCTGTTAGTAAAAACAGGCGATCTCCTGGACAAGGAGAAAAATCTAACGGCAAAACCAAACAGTGGGTTTGAGGTGTTTTTTTCATTTATTAGATTATCACTTTCTGGGCAACTCTTGACTATCAGTATCATGACAACACAGACAGGAGGTATCTTCTGGAAGGCTGTTCTCATTCTTTCCCCACGAGTTGTGTTTTCTTAGCATTTCAAGATTTGAAGGCTTATTCCAAAGTACAGTTCAATGGAGATCGTAAGGACAGCCTTTCAGGGGGCTTCCTCCAATCCCTCCTTTTATTTGGCTTCTAACAGATTTTGAAACATACGGAACCTTAGAAACCTTACCATAAACACTCAGAGCCTGAAAGTCACTTGCAGGTTTGTAGGTGATAAATAAACATTCCCTGAGATATCATCTTTAATGACTTTTTACATTGAGTAATACTTTGAATCATGGGCACCTGGGGCAGCAAGGAAGATGGGTTATTTCCAAACTCTTGTGGGGTGGAAGGGTGTGTGTGTGTGCGTGCACGTGTGTGTACACACACGCACGCGCATATGTCATGTACAACAAAAGCATCACATCTTTCACGAGGCACGGCAACACCACAGGGCTCCCTTGTGTCCGTAACTCCAAAGGAGTTCTGGCTTCTGTTCTCCACGTGGAATCCATTGTCCACTGCCTGTCCCAGCTTTCATTGAGAACTCGTTTTTTCTTGTATGTTTCCATTTTGTTCCTCCTGCCCATTGTTCTTTTGTCTACTGGACTGGGATGCTTTATCTCCCAAGTGCTATGGTTTTTTGTTGTTGGATACTGAGTGATGCTTCATCACTAAAGACAGATGGGGTATTTAATTTACTTTAGATCCTTAGGGTAGAACTCCAGAGGTCCCATGGTCTACCATCCTCCAGAACTACTACTGAAGCTCTTAATAAAGTAATAATGAGTAAGACAGTAGCTTCTGGGGGTGTATCAGTCAGGGTTCAATCACAGAAACATAACTAGAAATTATATGTGTGTTTGTGTATATTTCTTACAGGAATTTATTATAATTGTAGGAGCTGATTAAAGTCTTTATAAGGCTGTTACCTGCCCTGATGCTGGAACTAGAAATCTACAGAGTAGGAGTAAGCCCGAGGAAGATGGGCATAAAGTAGAGAATAACTAGCTGGAGCCACAGGCAAGAGCTGAAGCCCATGAGGACAGACACCCATGATGATGGATTTTGTGCCTCTGGCACTAGAGGTACGGGTGCCTTGCCAGACAGAGCCTTCATCACAGGAAAAAATACACACCTGGTGAGAGCCAGGAGTTAGAGAAGCTGAAGGAGGACTTGAGAGGGTGTGAGGCCCAGCTTTTGCTGGACACAGTGACCATGCATGAGTTATAAAAATGGCTGCTGTCTCACATTTGTTCTCCAACTGTAAGAATCTCCCTTGGGGCCCACCCGATTGAAAACATACAAGAAAGGGAATTCTGGAAATTGTCGTTGAGGCTAGACAAGTTGACCATTACCAAGTGTTATGGACTGAATTTTCGTGTCCCTCAGAATTCATATGTTGAAATCCTAACCCCCAACGTGACTGTGTCAGGAGCCGGGGCTTTGGCCTAATTATGTCATGAAGATGGAGTCCTCATGAATGAGACTGGTACCCTTATAAAGGAGACCCCGGAGAGCTGCCTTGCCCTCTTTCCACCTTGTGAGGACACAATGAGAAGTCAGCAGGCTGCAACCCAGAAGAGGACCCTCACCGGAGTCTGGCCATGCTGGCACCCAGACATTGAACTTCCATTCTCTAGAACTAAGAGATATATTTATAAGTTGCTCTGTATAGCAGCCTGAACTGAATGAGGCACCAAGCCACCACAGCTAAGCTGACTAATGCTCTGCTGCTCAATTAGGCAGTTTATTGTCACCTTGCCTACAAGAAGTGAAAATGATGGTAGAACACTCTGCCACAGCTTGTAAGATGTGGCTGCTTATTACAGGTTTGACCTCCGTTCCCAATATGAACACTTTGTCCCAAAGATTAAATTTTTAAGAGTAAACTTGATAAGTATGACAAAAAAACTCCTACAGGAAATCTCAGGAGAGCACAGAAATGGCATGTGAGGCAAACAGAGAAGGCAGGCAGGCACATGTTGAGAGAAGAGCCCTGGACCCTGAACCAGGAGCAGACGTTTGTGTCTCAGCTTCCCCACTCAGAGACTCTTTAAACTACTCCTCACCTCCCTGGGCTTTAGGTTCCTGTCTCCAGTATGAGGGCTGTCAGCCTATGAGACCAAAATCCCTTTCCAGGCTACAGTCTACAATAACCAGAGATACCCATCTCACATTAACTAGAGTGTTCCCCTCCAGTGATGTAGTCTCATCCCAAAGTAAAATCTCTTGAGTTTCACTGGAGGTTTACCCCTGGAGAGTACTTGCTGGATGTTCAATGATAACGCATCAGGGAAACAGCTACCTAAGAAAGGAAGTAGGGAGCTATGAAGATGACCTCTGGGCCAAACCTTGCTCCATGCATCTTTCGAAACCTGAACTTTGGTAAAGGGAACTGCTGCCATCACCAGTGCCTGCTTGAGCACCAATTAGAGTGGCTGATTAGATTCACTTGTAAGATTTTTTTTAGAAGATGTACGAGTCCCTAAGGATGACTGCTGTTATGGGAACTTATGTCCACTGATAAAATATTTCTTTTCATTATTAGTTACTTAGCAGTCTAGGCAGCAGCAGCACAAAGAGTACAGAGACAATGAGACAATATACAGACTGAGGCTTTGGCCACCGCACTTCTAGAGGACCAGGGATGAGGGGACAGACACATTCACAGACAGCTGCAATAAAACGAATGTTAACAGTGGTGCTGGAGAAGATGGAGACCAAGCAGCTGTGCTAAAGTGGAGGGGAAACCATGATTCCAGGCAACACTGCTGTTGTCCCTTTCCTAAAACTCCACGGCAATGTATGCTGCAAACGCAGAGACTGTAGGTTTCCTTCCATTTTGCATTCAGTGTAGGTTTTCTTTTATCACTCTTAGGTTCTGTTTTATGAATTAAAAAGATGTTTCGCAGGTGATATGCAAAGATATTCTCACTGTAAAAGATTCAAATTGTATACAGGTATAAACAAGGA